GTAGATAAGAGGGGCAAATTTCAAAGTTGGGTCATATGTGACTGAAGATTGGGAAACAATTTCTAATTCAGGAAGCCTGCTGAATTATGAGATTCTCAAGGCCATCAAAATTGTGTTGTGGTATTTTTTCATTACACCTACACACACAGACGTACACGTTCATGCACAGACACACAAAATCTAAGGAGAATAGTACACCCTTAGGGAGAGAGACAAATTATAGCTGACTACCTGGCCTATTACTAAAGGTTAATTATATAGTCTTAAACATTTAAAATTTTTCTTTGGCAGCATCTTAGAAAATGGCTTGTAGAGGCAGAGGAGGAGCTAAAGATGATAAATCTCATACCTGCATATTCTTATCAGGTATTAATATTTTACCTCACATATTCTTATCCACCACAATCACCTACTTAACTCCCCAGACTTGTTTCTGCTTTGAAGAATCAACTATGACTTTTAAAATTAATATTTATCTTTCCTTTGGGGAAGGAATTTTCTGTAGGCTCTGAGACGTCTGAGAGATGTACTGTGAACCCACAGCCAGTGAGCCAGGAACAGAAGAGAAAATACCGCCCCCGAGTTGGTCCCTTTGGTTTCACTCCTGAGCTCACAACACTTGGAGAGCATCTCCATTAAACGTAAAAGCCAGAGCCACACAGAATAATCTTGGCTACCCGGAACCCCCAAGAATGGTTCTTCCCTTCTTAGAGGTCCACATTTTCGAGGTAGCTCAGCATTTATCCAAGCTAGCATTTGTTTTTAACATAAAAAACTGTGTTTTGTCCACAATGGGATATATTGTAAAGCATATATTTGAACACAGATCTGTTGGGCCATCAAATCTCTGCCCTACAGAGATATGTTAACAACAACTGGGTCTAATTTGCACAATGTATACGACTCCTTCCTCGCTCTCAGACTTGAGTATAATATCCCTTTTGAATGTGAACAACTTTTAAAAAACTTTTTCTTTGCTTTTTTCATGTTTTTCAACTATGTCATAATAAGGCTATTGCCAAGTGCTTGAACTCTAGATTGAAGGGTCTCATTTATTGAAAGTGGGCTCTGGGTAGGGAGTGGAAGATTCAATAATCATAAGCATGGTGATTTCATGTGGCCACACTCAAAGTAGAACTTCGGAGATAGACGACCATGGGATTTGGTAGGAGACGTTTTGCTCTACATCCCTGATTTCAACTACATAATTACAGAATAGAAATTGTAATGAGGAAACGTCTTTTGAAACAGAAGTGACTTATATTTGGAATTGGCCGTGACCAGCTTCACTCACTAGAGGAGAGGTTCAGGAGGTGTCAGAGCTGAAAGGCATCTAAGAGATGATTTCAATGTCATCAAGTTCGTCAAGAAATGAGGACAATGAGCCTTACAGAAGTGGCTAGCCCGTGGAGTTACTATGTAATTGCCATTGACTAAAGTATGGCACAGTATTAAATGCACATCAATCATAAAAAAGAAAATTTAGCCTCCAAGGCAAACAACCATGTGTTATTTTCATTTGTTAGGAGTGGATAAACTTGATGGGGTGGGGAATGTGCCAACATGCTGCCCAAACATATGCCTGAGTTCCTGGCTCTCTTACACTCTATAAAAGGCTCTGGGTCCAGACAGAATGGGCGCAGTGGTAGAGCAAATGTCTGGGGATAAAAAAAAAATGGGCATCTCGTGCCCACAAGCTGTAAACAACTCTGCCCCCAGCAGAAGAACAATGCCCTGGAAGGGCAAGTGTCTTCCCCAGATGTCTGTAGGGGAAGAAGACTTTCCTTTGTAGCAGTCGTGGAGGGGCTGGCCTCATGGCTTCAAAGGGGCCAGATGTGGCTTTGGTCCCATCTGCACATTTTCTGGATGTTTGTCCATAATACGTGCTGTCTCCCTGCCATGGCAAGCTCCTAGAGAACAAGACTCACAGCTTCACTCGCTGTACTTGACCATCAGTGAGGGATTTGTAGCTCAGAACACGGCACGGCTTCAGAGAGTGGACACTCTCAGGGTTGCTCATGTTCTGACAGATGAATAGAGGCTGCTTTGGGCAGGAAGGGGGATAAGGCAGTGAGACACCAATCCTCCAAGGAAAGCACAACCCCAGGTGCTCCTTGAGGTCACCTGGGCATGTGGGTGGAAAAACACCCTATGTGCCTACAAGTGGTATGTGATGATGAGGCCCCTTTTGAGGATGGGGAGCCCAGTGCTACTGGGGAGTGTTGGAGAAGCTCGTTCCTTGAAGTAGGGCCCTCATTATAAAGAGTTTTCTTTCCAGGCAAATTAAATTTTCCTGTCATAACTTTAGCTCTACAAATGTATTTCTGAGGAAGACCAAAGAGCTTTCTCAGGAGACAGCTTAGATCATTCCAGCGCCCATGGGAGCTGTAGCTCTGGCATAATTTTACATGGAAAAAAGGGGTTGGAACATATATCCTGTAATGGTTCCATTCAGCCCAAGGAACCAGGGCTCCAGGATCTTTAACTAGATTTAGAAGAATTCTGGGCTCTTGCCCCTGCTATGTCCCTGACATGGTCCAAGACCCTAGTCAGGGAATAGCCATTTCATTGAGCCTTAGTTTCACCATCTGTGGTACCACATGGGTCCTGAGGTAGCTTATGACAAGAGCAGAGTCAGTCTGTTTTGTGTAGAAAAACATACATACTGCTTGTGGCCCACAGCACAGTGGTTATGCACTAGCCATACACCAAGGGTGGAGGGTTCGAACCCAGCCTGTGCCAGCTAAACAACAATGACAACTGCCACAAAAAATAGCCGGGTGTTGTGGCAGGTGCCTGTAGTCCCAGCTACTTGGGAGGGTGAGGCAAAAGAATCACTTAAGCCCAAGAGTTTGAGGTTGCTGTGAGCTGTGACACCACAGCACTCTGTCAAGGGCGACATGGCAACATAGTGAGACTCTGTCTCAAAAAAAAAGAAAGAAAGAAAGAAACACACACACACATACACCCCTAAGAGCAATTGTTTCTTTCTTTCTTTCTTTTTTAAGAGACAGAGTCTCACTTTGTCACCCTCGGTAGAGTGCTATGGCATCACAGCTCACAGCAACCTCCAACTTCTGGGCTTAGGCAATTCTCTTGCCTCAGCCTCCCAAGTAGCTGGGAATACAGG